ATAGATAGATAGATAGATAGATAGATAGATAGATAGATAGATAGATATAGAGATAGAGATAGAGATAGAGATAGAGATATATAGATACACACATACACACACACACATGCCAAACCTAATTCAAGGTAATCTGTGAAGTTATACAATGAGCTCTGATGGCCCTTAGCTGTTGTGTACCATGTTTGTGCAAAAAAAAAAAAAAAAGAACACAACACGTACTGATGCAACTTCTGTGGATACTTTTATCACCCCAAGGTAACAACAGTAAAGTTCCAACCGTCACATGAATAAAATTTCAATGAAAAAGAAAATGCATTTGATAGCAGAAAACACACTGCATCAGCCGTCAAAACGTCTTACATTCATTGAATGGCTTAATTTCTTATTCCCCCCCCTCCCCGCCCCAATATATAATTAGAGCATCACCTACTGGTGATGTTTTAGTGAAGAACTTGGTAATGTGGCTTCTTTATGGCAAATGTGCTAAGCCCGCAGATCGCATAGCAGTGTGCATAGCAAGGAGTTTACGCAGCTAACAATGAGAGAAGTCTTTGCAACCTAAGGCAGTTTGGTGGTGGGCATGCAAAACTTGACCGCCTATTTTTAAAAGAATCCCCTGCATGTGAGAAAAGCAGCTCATCGGAGAGAAAACATGGCTGACTTCCTCTCCTTGATGTACTAGATTTCTGTCTGCAGGGAATTTTCTATGGTGAGGGGAGACAACATATTGTCATGCCCCTGTCGGAGTCTGAATCCCAGGAAGAGGACAACCAACTGACAGGGAGTGGGAGTGTGGCTCCGTTGGCTGTGGAGGAAACTGGGCAAGGGCAAAGTCTGGCTGGGCAGAGCAGGGAAGAGGTAGAACAAGGGAGAGGGAGTTCAGAGGAAGACCCAGGCCCAGCCCCTCTTCATCCTAGGGCATGCAGGGAGGAGCGGAGAAGAGAGCAACATGGGTTGCATGGCTTACAGGGGAGGAAAGGGCCCTGATTCCCTTCATTAGACACACCTGGGAAGAGAGTTTAAAAAAGATGCATGCTGAGTGCGGCATCTGCTGGGAACAAACGTGAGTTTATCTTGTGTTGACCTTGGTTATCTGTGTTCCTAGCGTCCTCCCAACCGTGTTGAGTTATTGTCGTGCCTTCACATCTGGAATTCCTTCTCTTACCCTGCCAGACTGATTACCTCATTTTGCATTGATTGGACTTACAGTTACAGTTTTTGTTGACCATATTTTGGACTTGATTCTCTGCAGCCAAGGGCTGTTCCTGGGAGGGTTTTTCTCCAGCCAGAAGGTAACCAGGTCATTGGGGGCAAAGTTGGAGCTAATAAGGGGACTCCCACTGATTATCTTACCGTGTTGCCTTTGTGCCACGTCCCTTTGGATCATCACACATATTGATTTCTCTAAGCAGAAAAGCAAACCTCAGGCATAAAGGACAACAGCGGAATGTGGTATACAGGTAG